GATCAAATGGAAAAAGACCGGGGTCACTATAATATGCGTCATACTAGGAGGCTTGGAGTGGGCCTCATTGCCCTGTACTTGATATTTCTCCCTATTAGGGTAATCAATGCCATAGGAACCATATCATTGGCTGGTCGAAGTTAACATTTGATGTAGCGAATATTCAGGAAAAGCAGGTTAACAACAAATATTTTTGAAGAAGATGATGTGTATTTTGTCTTATCTATTATTGTCATCTTGAAGTTGTTTCTCACCAAGGACTAGGAGGAGAAAAAAACTCATGATCATGATCAGTTACTGTACTTGCAAGTTGGAAATGAGTAATCAATTGTTGTACAGTTAAATTCACTACAAGAAAAAAGGATGTGGCAACGCTTTTGTAGGCTTTATTCTAATTTATAATTGCTTGTTTTGTACAAAGATAAGGTGATATATTTTGAATTTACCATCCTCTGCTTTTATGTTGTGATTTACTTGTTTCAGTAAAATTTGAAAATCAAACCAAACATGAAATTCGAAAATCAAATTTGAACATTAGAGGTAAGTAGTGTTCTGTTAAAATTCTGTTAATTTCACTGAAATTGCAAGTGTAATCTTTCTCTACTTTTAGGATTTTTGTAGGTTAATTAATGACTTCATTTTCATATCAGAAAATGCTTATGCTAGAGAACAGATTCGTCTCATTAGAAATTGGAGTGGTTGCTTAATTATTTTTTTTTTTTTGGGGGGGGGGGAGCTGGGGAATAGTTGGATTTTTGTTTGTTAGGTAAGTAGCTGATATTGTATTATTGATGAAATTTTTGTTACTTTTTTGAGTGGTAATGTATCTATTTGTGATTAATTAGTCACTGTTATTTGTATAGTGTAGGCACCTGAATTTTCTATTAGGTGCAAAATCAAACTTCAAATTATAGTAGTGCTCTTTTGGCTTCCATTTCTAGTAAGTGTTATTCTTTTTTATTATAGTCGTGTTTATGTTTATTTGTATTATCTTCAATGCCTGCTAGCTCACTTTGATCTTTTCTCTTCACTCCACATTTTGCGTGAAATTTGTGATTTGAATATGTATATATATATATATATATATGTTTTCTCTTCACTCCACATTTTGCGTGAAATTTGTGATTTGAATATGTATATATATATATATATGTGCAGTTATGAAGTTAATTATCCAGATCTGAGTATATATTGCAGATATGAAGGAGTATGAGTTTTGGAGTGGACTAATTGTTACTTTTTCCAGTGATGAAATTGCAAGACAAGCAAAGGTAGAAGGGCCAATAGTGTCCTAGGCTCAATGAGGTGTGTATATTTTGCAGTGTTTAATTGATTTATTTATAAATATATAGCTGATTTTTTCTCGTTGCATTTCAAAATGGCAATTTTAATAAATTTGCACTAGCTTATAGACAGGTCACTCCAAAAGCTTGAAGTTACGTAAATTCTATTAAAAAAAATTAAACTAAACAACATTTACTTTGTTTGGTTTTGAGTGATTTTGAATTTTCAAAAACAACTCGAGTTTTTTTATTTTTTTATATTTTTTTCCTTTTAGACGTACCTAACCTATGTGCATCTAAAAAGTAAAATATTTGTATTTTAAAAAAAAAATCAACAAATACAAAAAAAAAAACTTAAATATACTGATTTTTTTTTTTTTTTTATGTAAGTGAATTTTTAAAATATTTTTCATAAATATTTTACTTTTGAAATGTATCTAAGTATCTAGATTAAGTGAATCTACAAAGTAAAATAATTACATAAATATTTAAAAAGTTCACTAAAAATAAAAAATAAAAAATTTAAAAACTATTTTTAATAATTGTTAATCAAACAGAGTGATTTAAACTTCTCAAAACAATAAATTGTGGATTTGTATTTGATGGAGTCTCTTAACTTTTTGATGCGATTAATTTATATTAAACAAAATATTGATAACATAAATAATTTTTTAAAAAACTTTTGATAGTTTGACAGGGTCCTCGGACCCCATCGGTTACTATGTGGAGTTGACCCTAAACAAGATACATCTCCACTATTTGGCAACAATGGTAGACATCGGTCACATCGACAACTATAATTGAGGTGGCGCTGCTCTAGTCACCCTCTATATATACGCGAGTGCTGTCATGTGTAGCTGAGAGATGACCATCAGAGGGCATTAGAGATTATGGGAGGTAAAATGTACTGTTTTATGTCATTTTTACATTGCACATGTCATTTATGCATTTATTCTAAAAATTTTCCCTAATCTTGTTTGTGACTCGGGCGTTGTGGGCAAGTGTGGCTTCAGATGTCATGGTGCACTTCATCACAGTGCTCAACATCACTCTGGTGAGTTGGAGAGGATTTTGCTAGAGGGCCCCTTCTGTCGATCGAGTTTGGTATTTGGGCAAGCAAGGATGCGAGGATGCAGCTAGTCTATAGGGATGGCCACCCCCAGAGTGCCTGTTGTGGTACTAGATTGCATGCAGACCACTGACATCTTCACCCAAAGGACATCATACTAGCCGTAGAGGGCACTAATGTAGAGATCTTCTATGGTGTGGCATCTAATTCCTTCATGACCACGACTTCCCTATTAAGTGAAGGCGGATAAGCATATATGGCACAGTACAATCCCTCCGTCCCCAATATTATATGATCAATTCACCACGCATGCACCTTGTGTGAGATAAGAGTGTCTGTTTGTGTGTAGTCACTTCACTTTTTTATGAAAAATGCTAACAACTCATCCTTAACTTGTCTAGCTAGTACATGAGTCCCGATTAACTTTAGAAATACAAAGAAAATCAAAATCCGCACTAATTAGCTTAATATCATTAATAATAGTTACAATGCTCCGATTAGGGATGCCTTGCCCATGCAAAGTAGATATCAAAACTTGACTATCCGTGAAAATGGAGATGCTTAATAGATGTTGGCCTTTAGCCCAATGAAAAACTTCCCAGCAATGGAGAAGGAAGCTGCATCCTAGAAGCATAATCTTGAACTCGTGATTGATCTATGTTGAAACAAACACATGACACGCCCACACTTTGATCAACTGCCCACAATGAACCATCTATGACAAAAGTCAGTCTACACCTAGTAATCTGTCACATTAGAGAGAGAATTTGCAAGCATACATATATCATCATTATTATAAACATCAGCAGTAGATTTTGAGGTATTAAAGCCTGCTCTAAACATGGGAATGATCTTCAAGTAACATTAGAGGTGAGCTCTTGAGCAAGAAGATTTGCTTGTAATTGTGTCATGTTCATGCCTTTAAACACAACTATTTCTCTGACGCAAAAAGGCCCAAAGAATAGCAATGGATTGGACAATAATTTCATGATCCCAAACCTTCTTTATCTTTTGTTTGAACCAATCCAGAAAAAAACATGGGATTTCCTCTAGAAAAATTCAAGCCTAACGAAGAAGCTCGCCAAACTAGTTGAGAATACTGGCATTCAAATAAACAGTGTTCCACAGTCTCAATCCCTTTATCACATCATGGACAACTAAGCTTAGTGGAAACTTCTTTCCCATATAACACCTATCGGACTGAAAAGATACAGTGAAGACACTTCTATAAGAAAAGTGTCCACTTAGGAGGTAGTCTAAGATTCTACAATCACTTTCAAATGGGATCACCAAATTGGTGACGTGTACCCCTACGACCTGAGCGCGCTGCATACAAATAAAAAGCCTTAATGGTATATTGGCCGAATTTAGTAAAGCCCCAAATAATTTGATCTCGCAAAGGCACCATCAATAAATGAAACCCTAATATAATCTATGCACTCCAGTGGAAAGAATACTCATAGAAGATTGATCCTCCAAGCATGATTTGGAGTATCAATGAAATGAGATAGATTCAAGCATGTTGGATTATGACTAGTTGAAATCCATTGATCCTCCAAAGAGGATTAATTAACTTGCCATCCCCTACCACCCATCTTATCTCCGGTTTTAACAAGTCTCTTCCTCATAAAATTCCTTTCCATACCCATGAAGCATTGCTCTTGACAGTATCAATAAGAAAAGATTTTGAGACGAACAATATTTCCCTGACAAAACCTTGGAGAAGAGGGATTTAGGGTCAATCAAAATCCTCCACACATGTTTGGCTAGAAGTGCTTGATTAAAGACTTAAATATAATCATCCCTTGGTCTACTAATTATAAACACCAAAAGCTTTTGGTAATTATAAAGAACGATGAATGACTTGAAACTGAGCTTTTCACTTAGTTTTTGTGAATTATAATATGTTAAATAGTCTTCAATCTCTAATCTAAACATCAATGAACTATTTTTGTATTTTTATTTCTGTATTTCAATTTATATATGTAATTCATGGTTGGGATGCATATTTAATGTAATCTTTTGAAAATCAAAATAACATTTCAACTAAAATCACAAGAAAAGGGCATGTTTTACAAGACAAATCACTTCTTTTGATAACTAATGAAAATGATAAAAATATGGACTTCAGAACTTTTAGGTCATGTTTGATTCACAGTGAAGTATTAATAGTCATATTAAATTAGTGTGGTATTCACTATCCAATTGGATTAATATCTATTACATTAATAATCCCACCCCTACCCCATTACTAATAATCCTACAAATTTATTGGATTAATTATCCATTAGATTAATAATCCAAAACCAAAATGTTAAAACAAACATAGGATAATTGAACCCACGGATTAATAATCTCAATCCCATGCTCTAATCCACCCAATCAAACATGCCCTTAATGAAATAAAAGAGAATTTTACTAAACAATTATGCTTATGATAATTAATTTTCACTGAATTAAATTCTTTTAAATTGAAAAATGATAGTTGGTAGTTTAAAGGGGAAATATCATTATAATGTCAGTACAAAAAATATTTTCAATTTAGCAGTTAAAGTTAATTAAATTTTCTTTCCATATTGCAAGGTTTCCACTAAATTAATATATATATATATTTTTTCCAACTATTCATTAAAATGGCATTTCCCTTGTTTAGTTGGAGTTGGAGTAATTACTGCATAAACTTATGGAAGTAGTAGAGAGTTCAACAATCAATTAAGAATCAACAAATACAGGATCTCAATCTACCTACTGCGTAGAAAAGAACTACCCAAAACACGCCACTTAAAAAAATTTAAAAATAAATAAATAAAACTTCAACCCTTCATCCATTCCACAAAAATACCACTGTATCAGCAGAGCATTACACTGCTACTAAATCAGCACCTCATAATTAAACCCTAAATCAACACCTCATAATTTACAGACAAATCAACAAGGAAGTTCCTCTCCAAGCTCCAATTTGCATATCCAGTATTCTCTCTCTAATAATAAAAATTCCTGTACAAAACAAAACAAAATTATCAGCAAAATCAATGGTATTTAATTGTTGTATCAACCAAAATAACGACAAGTTACAATACAAAAATGGATTATTTGTGGGACCTATATAATTCTCAAACTCATGAAAAATAAAACACCTTTAATCATTCAGGCGAATTTCTAACATAGTAAGATTATGGCTTAATTACAGTTTTAGTTCCCAAATATGAGTAAATTGGAACAACTGTTATACATTGGGGACCCAATTGACACAATTTAGACATTAAGGACCAAATTTTTGTACATTAAGGACCAAATTGACACAATTTAAGTATTGAGGACCAAAATGACACAACACTTTTGGAGACCAAAAATGTAATTAAGCGTAAAGATTATAGTAAGGCCCTAATCTTGGCAACTTTACCAGAAACCCAAAAAATAATAATAATAATAATAATAATAAAAGGGTGGATGGACAAAATTTAGGAGGGCAACACTATTGCCAAGGCAAAAATTATGTTGACAAAACTGGCATCCAAGTCAATTCTCCGGTTAGGGAAGGTCAACTATGACTGAAGAAGAATGAAAAGAGAAAATGCGATAATAGCCACCCCAAGCAAGTAAAGACTCGTTATCTAGATAATAGATTACCTGCAATTGCTGCTAACTAAATAAATGGAGAAACCCAGTTTCAGGTGATGCAACTAGTTCAATCAGCTCATCATGGCTTTCAAGTGGATTGCCGGACTCCACGAGCGAAACAGAAACCTGTGAATTTAGCAAGAAACAAAAACTAAAACTACTGTTCTTTACTACAGATCCTTTGTTTCTCTTACAAATTTCCTTGAGATTGCGAAGAAAAATATATATTATTTTTAAAAGGAAGAAATTGGCAAAATGGTAGATTGTTACATGGTAAACCAACTAATTTGAAGAAACACAAAGGACTTCTGGCTTCCAGAAAACAACTTTACCTGCATACATCTAAGAATAACTTCTGGAATGCAACACCTTCGACAAAGGCCCCGCACGATGTATGTAGCTGGGCCTTCCGGGGAACCATCTTTGCTTGAATACCAGGCATCTAGTCGTAAGATTTCCATTGTTACACCAGCTTGAAATCGAACAAGCTCTCCTGCATTCATACATTATATAACACAAAACAAAGTTTTTGTTTTAAACAATACACAACCTATAACTAGCGGCTCACATCCAGGTTTTGCATTGTGTTTACATCTCCATTTACTAAATACCATGTAGGACAGGACATATGATGTCAAACAGCTCCTAGTAATTCCTGTTGGATGCCTTGTATTAGACTTTACCCAATCTGAATATAGAACCGAATTGTATTTTAGCAAATTTAGACAAGGACATGAAGGTATTGGCCAATTTGTGACAGAAGAGCCAACAATCCAACTGCCAATATCCTTTTTTCAAGCAACGTATAGCGATCCCGGTTTTCCCTTCATTGTTTAATTGTATTTCAGACTCGGTTCCGTGGATGTGTTATTGTCTTTTTACCGTTTCCATCCTTTACTCTTTGTATATGAGTCTTGGGTCGTGTTGGGTAGGTTTAAAATAGGTTTGTTGCGTTTGGAAACCAAGGGTTAGTGTCCATTAAATTTTCATAATGGTTCATTTAATATCTTTATTAGTGGTTCATTTAATATCCTTATTAGTGGTTCAGTTACTATCCTTATTAGTGGTCCATTAGGGCGACCAATCCTTAATATCTTATATTTATTTATGGGGTTTCATTACTTTGGTAACCTCTTGGTCATAAATGGAGGTTAAATAGAATTCATGAACTTGGTTAATGGTCATTATTTTGGTGTAACCATTTTCTTGTTTAATGGTCATTATTTTTGGTGTAACTGTAAGGTCCTAATAGCCTATAAATAGTCCCTCTACTCTTTTCTAGACCACTAACACATCAACTATTTTCTATACAAGAGAGATTACTAGCAAAGAATGGTGTTTTATTGGTGGAGCTTTGGGTTCACCATCTTGTGCAGAATTGGCCTGAACCATACGACAAGTGGTCGGGCTGTTGTATCCTGGAGGGGACAAGTCATAGTGTTGTGACTGCTGCATCGGTATTTGGATTAAAAAGATAGAGTGAGTCGAGAGCTTCCATTTAATCTGAATTGTTGGTGGTTTGGAGCACTTTGGAGTTTGGGTCTTCATCTCCATCTTCTTTTTTTGGGCTATTTCTTCGAGGTAGGGATTTCCTACTCCATTCTATAAGTTTTGTTCTAAGTTTTGGTATTTTGATATGTTGGGGATACTTTGGTAATTTTGGGAAAAACCCTAGTTGTATTAATAAATTAATTTGTATAATTAGTTTAAGGGAATTTGGTTAAATTCATGAAATTGAGGAATTTATTAATTAAATGGTGTAGTTGATTTGTTTAATCACTCACCTATGAAAATGTTGGAATTATATTAGTTGATTCATTTATTTCCAGTCTAGAAATAACTGTTTTGGGCTATCGGTGGAGGATAGTCGTGATTAGGAATAACTGAAACTAATCACATTGGTTAAGTCATTAATTAAAATTATTAAAATATAAAAGTGTAAATACTTTTCTCCACAAGGCATTAAACATTTCACTATAGAGAAGGAAACCTGCCTTCATTAAAAGTGAAATTAACATTCTTAGCTTTAGTGATTGAACTTCTCACTTGAACATTAACCCTGTTTTTTCTTCATTGATCATTTCCTCTTATAGAATATAGTTGCAAAAATGGTTCTTTTTATTTTTTTAATTTTATTTTTTGCTTTTTTTATGTTTTGTTTCATCTACTAGATTAAGTTTAACAATAGCCTAGGGGAACTTCTTCATATGGCCTCATATGCTTATGCACAAAAAATGTACAAGGCTCACCTAAGGTGGATGCCACAGACTGTGATGGGCAACCTTTTGGAAAACATAGTATAAAAATCAAAGCCTTGATACGTTTTACCTTAGCCTCAAGCCTCGGTGAACATCAAGGCAAGCCTCAGTAAAGCCTTTTAATACTTTGGTTGTTGTATGAAACCCAAGTAAGGATACAGACAACACAAGAAGTTCCGAATAATTAGGATACAATCACAGCCAAGTCATGGCTAATTATCTATTTAATATGAAATTAAAAACAAATTATTCATTTTTTTACATAGCAAAATTTCTATTTACTATATGAAAATAATAACAAATAGTTTATGTTCTACATATAAATGTTGAAAATAATTAGGAAGAGAACTTAATGTTTTACTTTTAGAAGTCATAATTCACAAACAATTTTGAAGTTGTAAAGGTTCAGGGTTTTAAATATTAAAAAATCCGAATGATCGATAAATATATAAATCCATACTGCTAATTATTCTCTGAACTTTTCAAAAAACCTCAGGTTCACTCTATATACATCATATTCTATAAAGCACGGACCTTAGTTGCACAAAGCAGGAGCAGAGGCGGGAGCAGAGGCGGGAGCGGGGAAACGTGGCCACTTAGAGGAGTCGTAGATTAGGAGCGCTTATGTATTATTTTTATTAATTATATTTTTAATTTATCTATATAATTTTTAATTGACATACATGTACATATTTTTTTTAATAAATAAATTGACATACATATATATGTATACATATGTTATAATATTATTTATTTATTATATGTATAAAATTGAAAAAAAAATAAAAAATAGAAAAAATAAAAAGAAGGTCTCAAGTATAAATAAATAAAAAGGTAGGGTTTTTATTATATATAAAAAAAAAGTATACAGCGGGAGACGAACCGTGACAGAGAGACGAAAAGCACAGAGAGAGAGAGAGAGAGAGAGACGATCTGCCAGCGGGAGACGAACCGTGACAGAGAGACGAAAAGCACAGAGAGAGAGAGAGAGAGAGAGACGATCTGCCAGCGGGAGACGAACCGTGACAGAGAGACGAAAAGCACAGAGAGAGAGAGAGAGAGAGAGACGACCTTCGAAGTGATGAAAGAAGAAGAAAAACGAAGCAAAGGAGGACATACCTCGATCTAGGGCTTCAGCTTCACCCTCACCCTCTTGAGCTTCAACATATTCAGGTTCTTCTTCACCTTCTTGCATCTGGAGTTGTTTGATTTCACAGACGTTTTCATCTCATACCGAAACACGATTCTCTCTTAAGAATCGCGTTTCTTACACGATTCTGATTCAGGAACGCAAAATCGCGTTTCTTCTAGAAAATCGTCACCTACTGTAACGATTCCTGCTACTAAGGCACAGACACTTCATTTGACCTAACATATCAGTGTCCAATACATCTAGGACACAAACATGTTCGGAGATGCGGCAAATACATGTTGGACACCCTCTCCTGCGTCACATTTTTTTCACTTCTTTTGGTTGTTGGACACACCTCTAACATTCTCCGGACATGCATGTCCTTTTCTAGAACAATCCTTGGACAAAATGATGGCCCCAAAACAAAACAAAAAAAGTCACTGATTTTGTTCATGTAGCCTGCAGGAACCCTAGATCTATGATTCAAAGAAAAAGTAGAGCTAATCATATCAGCATAACTACAATTAATGTTAAAAAAAGGAAAAGGCAAAAGAAAAAGAAACGTACTGACCTGGGTCCAGCTTTGTCTCCAACACATCTTTACTTTTTTATTAGGGTTTGTAATCTTGACATCTCACCAAATGGGCTAGGCTGTAAAACTCTCTTTTCTGTTGGTATGTTGTACACCTATTATGGGATTTGTTGGGTGTTTTATTCTACATTTCCATCGATCCAATTCATTATGCAAGGCTTTGTATTTGGATCTTAGTTGCACAAAGCGGGGCCGGGGAGAGAGAGCATATAGAAGTTTCTAAGGTTGGGAATGCCTACGGAAGCGTATATATATTTCATATATTAAACGCATAAATATATTATAACAATTAATTTTCTACGTAGACATAAAATATGAATAAGAATTTGTGATTGATGTCAATTATAAATTGTTTTTGTCAAGTACGAATATACATATTATATAAATAGAAAGTACTATCATTAGTTTAAGTTGTTTTTCTTTTGTTTCTTTGATATTTTTATGTTTTTCGTTTCTATCTCAGTTGAGAGAGAGTTTCTTAGTTGCTGGAAGGGAGTTTCTTACTTGGGAGCATAGAAACACATTTCTCAATAAGAAACGTCACCTAAGTAGAAGTTTTTTGCTACTCAGATTTGGATATCATCAAGCCCATCATTTCAAAGGATGATGCGTGGAAAAAAAATATTGCAAACAAAAAAATAAATAAATAAACAAATAGTTTATTATTAAATAAAAACATATCCAATAAAAATGAAAAAAAATAAAACTCAATATTAATTTAGAATTTTCGAAATTCATGAATATTGTAATATATATTGCATATAAAATATATAAAAATGTCTTTTTCACGTGTCCATCGACATGTCGTGTCTTGCTTTTTTTAAGATTGTTGTGTTGGCAAATCCGAATCATGTTGTATATTTGTCACGTGTCAAGTGGCTGTGTCCACGCTTCTTTAGATCATAATAGATGGACCTAATCATGGATAAAGAGTAGTGACCTTCAGAAAATAGTGCACCTTAACACATTGCCAGACTATCCCACTAAAAATAATGCAATCAAATTTGGTATATAGATCCTTAAGGCACAATGAAGCACAAAAGTGTAAAGCTATCCTCAAATTACCAAAAACTAATATACCATTTCACTTGGCTCCCATCCCTCTGAATCATATGACAGGACAAAAGGAAGCAACATACCATGAGCTGGCGATTTAAGACAACTTCCTCGCTTACTGAAGAATAAAGGGCACTTAGTAGTGTTGCACACAAGGTGGCATCCGGGCACATACATTCACCAGAAGGCAGACAAAGCATTGCAATGGCATGCAATTCTAGGAACAAAGGTTCTACTGATTCATAAACATGATCTTCAGTGGGAACCAACCATGGATTTTCTTTTCCTAGAAAATAAAATATATCAATTAATTCAAACCAGAAAGCTCACAAGTAGAACATAAAATGATGTCAACAATCCGTAGTAAAAACTACACAAATAAACATGGTGGCTAATCCAAAGATCTCTACGTGCAATGTTTGTAGCATATAGGTAAATCAACTCACTTAAGAGCAGTGAAAATGATGAATTTAGTGTTTCCTTAGCTGCTGCAATCGCTCTTTGCTTTTCCTCAACTGACAATTCAAGGGGAGAAACTTCCACATTCTCTAACTCAACTTTCAGCCAGTTGCGATAAGTTGCATCACAAGAGTAGTACTCGCTCTGATTTAATGAAACATTGTACAAACTTGCAGTCTTAGAAGTGATAATATATCAAGGCCAAAAGAAAAGCATAAACAACATTGAGTGCAATGAACAAATACAGATCTAAATAAACCATACCCAGTCCTGGAACTCTCTTAGGTTCTCAGAAACATCATGATCCTCAGTAGAAAGAAGAGTTTCAGTTGGCTGTTTCAAAGGAGCAATGTGTGTGCACCTATGGGCATTGTGGGCACCCTCCACATGGAAATAAGAGCAAACTCCCTGAACAGTATGTTGCTACAAACAAGAAAGATCAGTATTTAGCAAGCCAACAAGATGAGAACAAGAAAATAGGTAGGTAAGAAAAATAGTACAGTAGGGCTAGGCTGTAATACTCTCTTTTTTGTTGGTATGTTGTACACCTGTTATGGGATTTGTTGGGTGTTTTATTCTACATTTCCATCGATCCAATTCATTATGCAAGGCTTTGTATTTGGATCTTAGTTGCACGAAGCGAGGCCGGGGAGAGAGAGCATATAGAAGTTTC